CATGTTTTAATTAATGACAATAAAAACTTTATTTGAGAACATGATCTTCAAGGCAGTCTGTTTTGTTATCACAAACCAGGCTTAGAAGTCATTACTCCTAAGTCAGGATATATAGTGAGACAGTATGCAGTATTTGGTTTTATGAGGATATGATATCGTTTCTTAGAGATACATCTTTTAATTGAGTTTTGCACACTTTTATGAAGACAGATTTGGATACTAGAAACTTTAAAAATAGCTATTAATTTTTCATTCAGGAAATGAGTCTAAGTGTGAGCTTTGTGAAAGGAGGCAGCCAATTTCTTTTGCCTGTGTGCATGCTCTTCTTGCATTGTGTTAGGTGGATAGCAGCTAATTGAGTAACTGAAGTTTGAATTTATATACGGGGTTATAAAAATTAGCACTGAATGAGTTAAAACAATTATTTTTTGGACTCAATGATAGCTTACAGAAAAGAGTTTGGAATTTCAATTATTTTAGGGATATTTGTCTGCTTTGTAGATGAAGATTCATTCACAAGGCACAGTTTGACGCACATAATCTTGTTCAGCAACCGATGCTTTAATACTGCTTTATTAGATCAATGTTATTAATATATGAAGAATGGGGAATGCAGTAAACACAGAAAGACATGTGCTGAGACATGTTACATCACATGACAATGAGTAAGGCATCGGTAACTTCCTTCCAGAAGACTGATCCGTCCTTTAGTGTCCCATTAGTTTTTTAATACAGATTTTTAGGGTAGTGTACAAGGCAGTGGGTTCAGCATGTCACTTTCGTATGGATATGCCATTGTTCTTTGTTCTTGTTCACTCCTGTCTCCACGGTCTTTTGTTGCACCCCTTCCCTTTCCAGCTGTGCCAGAGATTGGTTGTAGTATTAAGGCCACTTCCCATAGTTAAAAGGGAGGTTTATTTTGTGGGGTAACTTACAAGTAAAGGGATAGGTTACAGGATCTGGAAAAGGTGTAGCACAGTCCAGTGGTGTTCTCTGGAGAACTCTGCTCAGTCTACCTCCAGCGTTCAGGGTCCAGGAACCAAGAGAGCCGGCACACCCAGATCTTAGGTCTTAAGGGCTCCTGTCTCCACACCGCCTATAGGCGTGACAGTTACCGGAAGCCTCAATGGGGGTAGTACTTCCAGGTCAAAGCTGGAACAGCTACCCACTACACCTCTTCCTCAGTTAAATCTAGCTCTCCTATACCTGGGCTGGCCTCAAACTTGCTATGTAGCCTAGGCTAGCCTTGAAGTCCTGCTTCTCCTACTTCCTAAATTCTAAGATTATAGGCAGGGACACCACATCCAGCTATGATTCTTATTAAAATTTAGAAATATTAATCCAAAGAGCTCAATAAAGGTATTTTTACATATTTAATTTATTTTACAGATAAAGTAGTTAGCATGTATTCTTAATTTCTATTAACATATATACATATAGTTACTAGAATTTGTAACTTACAATGTATACAAAAATTTCATTAGGGATTTGTTTTCTTAAACACTGACAGATTCGTTGGCAACATTTCTGTGTCACTTAGAGGCTACTCATTGTAGTGCATACAAATTAAGGAAATTAATAAATTACATGTAGCCATTCAAAGAGTTTTTCTCAAACTTTGCTAGGAAATAAGTAGGAATTATAAATTAATGATCATCATGATGATCTTGGATTAAGAAGCTCTGCTTCTGGACAAGAAGTCATCCTGACATCCTGGTGACTCCTTCTGTCCCATCTAGCAGATGCATGGCTGTGACAGCAGCTTAAGCCTGTACTCATAAGTCCTTTCTTTCTGTAATATATTGTTTAGAAAACACAATCTTCATAAATCTGTCATACTTCCCATGTTCATTTCCGAAGACACAATTGATGACATGTGTGCATCAATTATCCCACATGTTATAGAGCATGTGGGAAAATGTGAGGGACAGGCAGAAACAGCCTCTTGGTGAATAGGATGAGTGTTATCAGGTATGCTCAGCAGGAATTCCCAATAACCACAGTTTCTGTATGTTAATTCCATAGGGATGTAGCCATTCATCACTTGGAACTAGGAAAATATCATTGACCCCCAAGGGCAGTGACAAACTTCATGACTTTCATAATATCATCCCAGGAAGGGCTTGTAGCTTCTTTCAAAGTAGAATAAAAAGTAGTTCAGGGATAAATGACAGTAAATATCAGGGATACCAAATGTGGTAAAAGTCAATCATAAAAAAGAGGGAAATGATTTACAAGCATTAATAAAGTAAATATTTTTTAGTATCAGGAACTTTTTGCTATCTAGGGAAATTATATTAAAGGCATGAAATAGGTCCTTCTGCCAAATTAAGAGCAGACGGTACTTGAAAATCAACTTGTTGGTGTAACAGACAGGATTTCACATTGAATTTTACTCTTTCTTTTTATCCAACCTGTGTGACATTTGTGATTGGTTTTTCAGTGTTGGGGATCAATTTTAGGACCATATGCATGCTAGAAAAGCACTCTTGTTTAGTTAAATTCTCTGCCCCTGTATGTAACATTTTATAGCCATGAATTTGTAAGCCTTTACCTATTATATTATTGTCCTCATCAAAATTCATCTGTCACAATTTAGTATATTTTTAGCTTCTTTTCAGATCCTTTATTTGTAAGAACAGTTCAAGTTTTTCTAGCAAGTCCTCTATAAATTATTCTGTCTCATTTTTCTCTGCTTTAAATGCTAGTTATTATCCAACCATTATTGACCAATGTCTGTATATTTAGGCCCTGAGGTAAAAATTTTCCTTTTAGTTGTTAAAAAAGTCACTTCCAACATTTTTAAAATGTTTACATTTCTCAAAAAAAATAATCTTTTTGAGAACACCATACTTGAGCTCAACAGCTATATTACTACTGCCCTTCCCTCCCCAACTCCTACTGTGACCCACCTCTCCCTCCCTAATCATGATCTCTCCTTGAATTATTACTGTTGCATGTATATACCTGTGTTTATGCATCTACCTATGTAGGCATATTTGCGTGTGCGTGCTGATTACTTGGATTGGACAAGCCTTGTAGGAGCTTGTTCCTGGAGGACACTGCTTCCTCCCGTCTCTGGAGCCACTGACCGCCTCTAACTCTTCATCTAGAGGTGGAGCCTTGAGGAGTTTCCCTTGTTCACACAGGCAGGTCAGTTAGTGTGGCCATTATGCTTGTTTTGTTCAGATGTCCATGTTTTGGGGATTTCATGAGTGTATTTTCCTGATTATGTCTAGGAGATATTGTCTAGCAGCAGGTGGTGTGTCTTGGGCCTCTGGCTCTTAAATTCTTACTCTCAGAATTCATTGACTGACTGGAGTTCCTCATCTAGAATTAAGGCATGGCAACTCACGGTGTCATTATCCAGTTCTTATTTATGCAACCATACTGTTGATAGTTCATGGGTGTAGTTGCCCTGCCATGGGGAGAAGACACCATCTAGCAGCTAGTGTCCTGGTCCTCTGGCTCTTAAAATCTATGGATTATCTACATTCTAATTTTTCTAAAGAATTATCTGTAAATGAAGTTGAAACTCATATTCCAGAATGATGTGATACTGATATTCCTGTGATGTACAAGACAATGCATATTAGAAGATAACACAGCCTTCAAGACAAACTGTAGAAGAAAATAGAAAAGACATATGAGATTCCTTGCTATCTGCTGACAACTAAGCTTTGATGCTGTGCAGATATCAAAATCAGACTCTCAATTCTTCAGATACCAAAGGAAGAGAAATAATAACATATGTAAAACAAAACAAAAGAGACTTGCTCAAGAACCCACTTAATGCAGAAATAAAAAAACAGGCTAGAAGAAAATAAAGCTAAACCACAGTTAGTTTGAGTCAGAGATTTACTCTGAGAATTAAGAAGACTGGGTGTGAAATTCTGAGGCCTGCAGACTGGAGAAGAGGTAGCTATGGTGGTTGGGCTGCCCTGTGGATCTCCTTTAGGTGTGTGCCCAGGAGACATACAGTAGTTCTGCTTTTTAGTTTCTATATGCTAATAATTTTCAAGAGAAGTAGACTCTGAGAGACTTTGAGAAACTGGTCACCATGTTAAAAATAAGTCATATCTATGATTTTTGTAGATACAAAGTTACCAAGGCTACATACTCATACTACATACATGCTCATGGCAGAGAACTAGCATTTTCTTCCATGATTATTATCAATGCTGCAGGGTTATTCACATTAGCACTGAAGGCTGATCAGTCTCCAGTATGATCCCTCTGTGGCCTCTCCTGTAGCCCATGATCCACTCTGCTTGCCACACTGCTGCCCCCCTCAGGTATAGGATCAGAAGTAATTTCCAGATGATGCTGGGCTGGCAAATAAGTGACAAATGACTGCATATTTAGAGTAGAACTGTAGGGACATGAAAATTACTTGGACTAACCTTTCCTCTTTGAATAACTGTGGATAAGTTTGAAAGATTCACTTTCTTTTGGATTTCCTTCCTTTGGAAGTTTAATGTTATACATGGTATATTGATTCTAGCATTTTCAGCCTTCTTTGGGAACTTTATCAGCATGGATAAGTGAGGTGTTATATTAAATTTTATGTACAAGTCATAGTTCATTTCTTATTTCTATATATTTGTCATTGAAGGCTGACCTAATAGTAAAGGCCTGTAATCCCAACTTCTCTAGAGGCTGGTGCAGGAAGTTCATGAGATCAATACCTGCAAGGGATACAGTGAGTTCAAAGGCACTTTGAACAACCTAGTAAGACTGTGTCTCAAATTAAAAAGATATAAAAGAGCGAGAGATGTAGCTTAGTGGAAGAGTGCTTGTGCAGGATGCCCTGGCTTCAATCCTCAGTACTAAGGTGTGTGTGTGTATGTGTGTGTTTGTTTGTGTGTCTGTGTGTGTGTGTGTGTGTGTGTGTGTGTGTGTGTGTGTGTGTGTGTACATTCATCATCTAAAGAATTTAAGTCTGTAGATATGTTTATTTTTCTAGTTATCACTAAGAAGTTTTAATATTTTATTTTTAGGGCAAAAGCTGTTCCAAAGTCCGATAAATTAGACAGTAAAGTTAAAAGAATTGGACCACACATAGAAATTTACCAACTGTTCCAGGAAAGAAACAAACTCATATTTACTAAAAGAATTGTTAAGCTGATTACTATCACACAAGCATTTATCAGGGGATGGCTTGAACGCAAAAGACTTCAAAGACTAAAGACTAAGGTAAGAGGTACCTTGCAGACAAGATGTCTCTACATTTTCTTATGTAGATTCAATTATAAAATTTTGAATAGTCTGCCTGGAAATAGCTGTGTAATTTTCTAACAAAGTTCTATCCACACATTTTTGATTAAGTAAATGAAATGAATAATCTACACTGGGAATAGTTTTGTCTTCTGAGAAATTGAACATTGAACAAAATACTAGGCTTACCCATAGATTGGCAGTTCTGGAACCAGAGCAAACTGTCTTTTTGGTTTTTGCTATTTATTTTCTAGTTAGAATAACTCAATACTTCTTGCTTTACAAGATCCTGGGTATTCTTGCAGTTGGTCAAATGATTCTTTTTGAAAATAACTGTGCGCAACCCTTCCCTTCCCTCAACAACCACCTTGGCAACTTTTAGAAACAGCAACCCCAACTTTCAGAATAAACCACAAGGATCTCTTTTGACTGCCCAAATACAAGAAAAGCCCAAATGGATGGCTCTTGGTAAAACTGTGAGAACATAAGAATTGTCCTCCTCTTGAAGGCTAAAGCTTGGGAAACTATGAAGAACGAAGTAAATGAGAAAGAAGGGCACACATTTCTAAGTAGCCCTCTAGAAGGGACTTACGGTGTGTCTCCTCTGGAAGGGACCTACGGTTGTGTCCGCTGAGCATCTATGTGTCAGAACATAGCTGTCTGCTTGTTCATAAGTGTATACATTATATATGACAATATATGTTATTATATATCATTCTGATATTAAATCTAATTTACTTATAAAAAGTAAACTCTTTTTGTACTTAACCCATAACTAATTATTTTAGGCAACTGCTGTATCTGTTTTATAAGAGAAGAAATCCAAGCTCAGATATGTTAAGTCAAGTACTCAGAGTTGAGTCAAAGATGATGAATACCTGTTTGACACCAAAGACTATGCTTATTCTGCATATCCTGTCACCTGCTTGAACTGCTTTGAGCAAGACTGTTTCTGAATCCAATCAAAGCTGTATCATAGACCTTTCTTTGTAGCTCAGACCCAGGTATTATGTTGCCTGCTTAAAATTTCCATAGTTAGGTCACACTTCTTATAGCCTGAAATGAAGTCATTTTCTAACTTTCCCAAGTACTTTCTCTCTTGCACTACCTATGTTCAACATCAATTGTGCAGGTCACTGCCTAGAATTGGTCGCATTTTTGACATTTTTATTGCTGTACCCAATTGCTATGAGTTTCACATATTTTTTTATGTTTTCTTTTTCTCTGCTTTCCCCCTCAGATTTTATTTTAATCTACTCTCACATGAGTAAGTACAGTGGATTTCCAGCTGATTTCCTTGACTGTGGGCTTTTTCTCATTTAGTCCTCTGTAGTATATGCCATATTTATAAACTCTTACCACTTTTCCCAACTTCTCATGGTCTTATGCTGCCTTACACTGACTGGACATGAAGTGTGAACTTCCAGACATGAACATATGACCTCCTGTCTATGACTTCTGTCCAGATCAACACATGGTGCTCCTTTGCATATTCTTTAGAAATTAGTAAACTCCAAGATTTGATGGTATAGTTATCTTGTGGTTTTGATTACTTTTAATCTTAGCCAGGAAAACTCTATCTGCTGCTTCTTTTTATAAACTCCAAGTTATTGAGGCAACCAACCCTCCAATTCTTGGTCCACAGTGCAGATAGGCAACTAATCCTCCCATTCCCTGGTTCACAGTGCAGAAAGACAACCAACCCTCCCATTCTCTGGTCCATAGTGTAGATAGGCAACCAACCTTCCCATTCCCTGGTCCATGGTGCAGACAACCAACCCTCCCATTTTCTGGTCTACAGTACAGAGAGGCAACCAGTCCCCCAATTCCCTGGTTCACAGTGCAGAGAAGCAACCAACCTTCCTGTTCCCTGGTCCATAGTGCAGACAGACAAACAACCCTCCCATTCCCTGGTCCACAGTACAGAGAGGCAACCAACCTTCCCATTCCCTGGTCCATAGTGCAGACAACCAACTCTCCCGTTTCCTGGTCCAGAGTACGGAGAGGCAACTAATCCTCCTATTCCCTGGTCCACAGGGCAGAGCTGCCATCTGTATCTTCTGTCCAGTTCTCTACATTATAATATTCTATACTGTGTACACAACTGCATTGGCTGTGCAATGCTTAGTGTTGTCAAGTTGACAGGATGTAGAATCACCATGAAAGCAAATCTCTGGGCATGACAGTGAGTAATTATCTAGATTGAGGTGGGAAAAGCTGCCATGGATGGAGGCTGTACTATTGGTGAAATTATTAAGGCCACTCCACGTAGTTAAAAGGGAGGTTTATTTTGTGGGGTAATTCACAAGTGAAGGGATAGGTAACAGGGTCTGGGAAAGGTATGGCACAGCCCGGCAGTGTTCTCTGGAGAACTCTGCTCGGTCTACCTCCAGTGTCTGGGGTCCAGGAACCAAGAGAGCCAGTGCATCCGGATCTCGGGTCTTCAGGGTCCTCTCTTGGCCCCGCCTTATAGGCGTGACAGTTACTGAAGCCTCAGTGGGGCTTGGAACTTCCAGATCAAAGCTGGAATGGCTACCCACTACACTGTACATTTATGGGCTGAATCCTAGACTGGATAAAAAGGAGAAAGCCGCCTGAGCACTCACATTCATCTCCCTGCTTTGTGACTATAGACAGACTGACCAGCCTCTTCCTGGTACAATTGTTGTATCTCCCCTGTCATCATGGACTCTGTCTCCTGAGACTTGATAATAATAATGATAATGATAATAATACTAAATACCCTTCTTTGCATAGTTTTGTCAGTTATTTGGTCATAGCGAAGAGACAACCAACTAACACAGGCAGTACAGTTTTGTGGCTGAGTTGAAAGTATGTAGTTTCTATTTTTGTGTTCATATCACCACATACTACCTTGACATACCATAAACAGTCTCTATCATTTCAACTATATTATCTGCTATTTTTCATGTTCATTGTCTCTTCATGTGCTTGAATTTTTTATTTGGGTTAGATTATAACACCTGATATGTTTGTTGCTATTTTTAAATATATGAAAGTGTTTAACCTGTGGTCTTTGCTCAATAAGTAACCATGAAATGAATAAGTTGATTCAATAAAACATTATTTTAGAAGTTTACCATGGTACCTTAATGAGGTACAACTTTAGCATTCTATGTGCACAGTTTTTATATCTTATATGATTTAATTGTATTATTTCCAGCTGTCAAAAAGAACCATAGTCATTCATAACCTTTGGAACAAAAATGGGTCCAGAACTTTAGCAACATTGTAACTAAGATGAGGTTTAAAAGAAGAGGCTGGTGTGAAGAACGTTGAATTTCTCTGTGGCAGTAGAGTCTGAGATGAAAACAATGGGAAGTACCTTTCCGGAATCAGAGCCAGTAGAAAGAAGATTGTGGACTTTTGTTTGGTTATAAATTCTGTTACAGATCGCTTCTCGGCCTTTTGGCTAAAATCAAGTATGACTTCTGTTACGGTCATCGATTGTTTTTTGTTCCACCCCTGGCATGGCATTTGTGAATTAGATGGCTTTTTTGTTGATATGGTTAAAGTTGTTCTGCCTACTGACAAAAGGTAGGAGGACAGGCTTACAGTACAATAAATGATGCATCAGGATCATGCCTCCATGAGGCATTGCTGCTGGTGGAATTTGTGGTAGAAATTCTGCTCTAGAGGCTGCACAGCAAATCACTGGGTAATGGGTGGAACTGTTGTAATTCCCCCACTGCGCGACTTCCAGAGTCGTGTTGTCTGGCTCGTCCTTCAGAGCTCTTTGCTGTGGACAGCATCCACAGTGACCATTCCGGTTTCACTGTTGCTTTTTGAAATCCTCCTAGTCTAGGTATGTTTGGAAATAATGAAGCAGTGTTCAATTATCTTAGCAGTCATAAATCAAAAGATCATGAAGATTGTGATATTGAACTACAAGCATAATTTCTACCAATCAAGAAGTTCTTTTCTTTTAAAAGTCTGCTCGTTAGTGTATGATTTTGGTACAATAGTCCTAAAAATTTCAATGACACAAACAGAATAATTTCTTGAATATAATATCTCTAAAATTTTGTTTAATATCAATATTTTATTTATAATTTAAATAATTTTGTTCCTCAGGAAATGTTGGTCAAAATTTTAGGGTTAGGTTAAGAAGTATTTAAAATCTTAAAAATACAAATTTCAAAGTTATTATAGCAATGTACCACACATAGGTCAATGGTCTTTAATATTTTGGAGCTTACAAAAATCCTTTGAAAGTTTGATAGAATATTAATCACCTCTCATTGTCTTATGTCAAAATCTATAGCAACCACAAAGTCTGTTGTTCAGCCTATTCAGGGCTCTCATGCTGACTTTCTGTAGAATAGTTTGTTATATAAGTGTTTGGTTTCTAGGTACCTGGAGAACTTTCATTTACTTAATAATATATCTTCTTTTACTTAATATTTTTAATTGAGGTAAAATTACATCAATTAAATAATATATATATATATATTTGAATGTAATAATGGTCACTAAATATTGGGTTTAATTTCCTGGTATATGATTTCCTAGAGCACTTGTGCCAGTTGAAAGTACAGATGACTTTGAAAAGTCTTTGGTACTATGTGAATACTTAATTTCACAAAGCCAGTCACTTAAGCCAAATGGCTGTGTCTGGTATAGGGGTTGGGCAGTGCCAGTACACTGACATGTAGAGAGTTCTTGTCAGATGGCTGTGGAGGCACAAGGGAAGACTACACCAATGGCCTTGGGTGAGATGGAACATTGTGGGGCTGGTAGATATGGTGATATTTTATTTATGCTCTAACAAATAAAGCTTGCCTGGGGATCAGAGGACAAAGCTAGCCACTATATTAAGCATAAAGGTCAGGCAGTGGTAGTACATGCCTTTAATTCTAGCATTCGGGAGGCAGAAATTCATCCGGATCTCTGTGAGTTCAAGGCCACACTAGGAACAGAGCCAGGTGTGGTGGCACATGCCTTTAATCCTAGCACTA